CCAGGGTACCCCCATGGTTCCTGCTTTAACCCAATCCCTTTCCTCTCCCCCAGAGCCAGGCATTCCCAGCCCCTCCCCCCTGCTCTAACCCAATTCCTCCCTCCTACACAGCCAGGAACTCCCAGCCCCCCTGCTCTAACCCAATCCCCCTCCAGGCGCTGGGTGCATGCGCAGAGTGGCCGGCCGTGAGCCGTCCAGGCGCGCAGCTCAGAAGAGGCAGGAGCCGCATTTCCTTAATCAAAGAGCCACATGCGGCTCAACATGTTACCCCTGTTGTAGACCTTTAAACATTTTTGTTGCTCTTCTCTGGACCTTCTTCAATTTTTCCACATCTCTCTTAAGAAATGTGGTGCCTGGAAGTGGACACAATACTCCAACGAAGGCCTATCAGCGCAGAGTAGAGCAGAAGAATGACTTCCTGTGCTTGCTCACAACACCTGTTAATGCATCTCAGAATCATGTTTGCTTTTTTTGCAACAGTGTCACACTGTTGACTCATGTTTAACTTGTCGTCTACTATGATCCCTAAATCCCTTTCAGCAGTCTCCTTCCTAGACAATCACTTCTAGGATCTTTATCTTCCCCTTTTCCCAACTGTCAGATTTAACAAATCAGCCTCTTCCCTACAAGTTCATTTTTTCAATTAAACAATGAATCGAAAAGGTACCCAGCCCTCCATCCCAGCTCCTTCTGTCACCCTAGTACCTGCTACAGCAGGCTCTTAATCCCACTCCATGCTGTGGGCTGGAGGAGAGGAGCAGCACAAAGGAGGGAGCCTGCAGAAGCAGCCACTGCCAGCAAGGCAGATAGCTAGCTATTCTATAGCTATTACTGGGGAGAGACCTTCTAGTGTTAAGAACTGAAAGCAATCCTTGAGTTTCTCTGCCTACGCATATAGTGGGCCAGATCCTTCCCTGATATATACACATAGCTCCTGCTGATGTCAGCAAGCCTGGCACATGTATCTGTATCATTGCCATTACGAGCATTCCAGGCTACAGTGGCTCTCAGCACGTCCTGTTTTGTATTTCACAGAGGGAATTATGTAAGCGTCGCTTGTGTTTGATTCTAACTTCAGATGCTTGACTCATACATGTGCTCTGGAGAATCTGGAATTGGATGCAGGGTGACTGAATACTAACAAAATGAAATTGTTCAGACGTAAGCTCAACGCTTCTTGCTGTATCTTTATTTAAGGTTTTATACTCCCTAACTTCATTTAGGCTTGTCTGGCAGCAAAGTACTCAAGCTATGTACTGGCAGCATTTCTGGGACTAGCTATGAAAAATGAAAAGAAAATGTTTCTTACCAGCTTCAAGGCCTCCCTCCCATCTTTAGAGTATGCCATGTTCCCTTTGGCTCTAATCCAGACAGTGATGGAACACAAGCTCCTACCTATATATAGAATTCCAAATATATAGTGAGTAAGTTGGGGTCCAGCATTTGTTCACATCATCACCAACTAAACCAGTGAAGAGAAACTGAATCAGCAAGGAAGCTATCACAGGAAAAATAAACAGGCATTTAAAGGTTATAGATGTTGTTTGCACTCTTATGGCTAAGAAACAGCTTTAATAAAAAAAACTGACTTCATTTCTGCTGCAACCGGCCCTCCCACTCAGAACCTTCTGTACCAGAGTGGAGATTTATTATAGTACCTGCATGCTCAAAGGCAATTTTCCTGAGGATTTTTGCTTTGCAAACAGCCTTATGGATTTATAGTGCAGTCTTGCATGATTGTTAATCTGCTTTCACAGCAGTTTATTGGCTTGAGCACAGACATTATAGTGCACGTTGTAAAGGTGCATGAAAAATAAATTATGCAACTAATGAACAAATAAATCTTCATATGTATAGGGGAACCTCCTTAGTGTGAATCTTAATTTTTATATGAAGGAGAATTCAACAAGTTCAAACTTCCCATATGACAATAGTAGTTCTGGTTACAGCTAAGTCTCTCTGGGCATGGGAGAAATGACTTCACTCTGGCTACTGTCACTAAAACTAGTTCAGCTCTACTAATGTTAACAGTAGGAGGACTTAGCGGCAATCACTATCCTTTCTACTCAGTCAT